ATATATACAATTTTTTAGTTTATATTATTTTTAAAAACTTAACATATTTACTAATAACTGCAATTCCTGAAACTTTAATTTTTATAATTTATGATTTGTAAGCCTTTTTAGTTTTACGTACATACATTTCTAAATTTTATATTTCAAAACTTTATGTTTTTCTGATTTTCAATGTGTATCATCTTAGACTTTATAATATTCAAAACTTCATATTTGTCAAAACTTAAATTATTTTACCGTTTTGATATTTATACTAAATAAATTAATAATATCTGTAGCTTTTAAAGTTTTAATTTTTATAACTCAGTGATTTTGGAAGCTTAAAGTTTCCAAAACTTTCCTAATACCCACTCATAATTTGCTGAAGCTTAAACTTCAAGCCTACATATTTAAAATCTTTTCAAATTTCAAAACATTTCAATTTTATAAATTTTACAAATTTCAACGTTTTTAATTTCAAAACATCGAGTTTCAAATTTTTTCAAATTTCAAAACTTTTCATATTTCAAAGCTTTTCAAATTTCAAAACATTTCCTATTTAAAAACTAACATCAAATTTAAAATTTTTTTTAATTTTCAAATATTTTCAAATGTTCAAAACTTTTCAAATGTTCAAAACTTTTCAAATGTTCAAAACTTTTCAAATCTTCAAAACTTCTCAAATTTTCAAAAATATTCAAATACTCTAAACTTTTCAAATGCTCAAAACTTTTCAGATGTTCAAAACTTTTCGATTTTTAAGTCTTTTCAAATTTCAAAACTTTTCATATTTCAAAGCTTTTCAAATTTCAAACCATTTCCTATTTAAATACTAACATTAACTTCAAAATTTTTTCAATTTTCAAATATTTTCAGACTTTCAAAATGTTCAAATGTCAAATGTCCAAACTTTAAAATTATTGTTGTTAGTATTTTTCAAACAAAATTTTTTAAACCTTATCTTTTTTAAGATTTTGCATGACGTTTTTTAAAACTAAAACTTTGAAAAGTTATCAATTTTCCATATTTCACAGTTTTTTTTTTCAAAATATTTTAAATTTCAGTTCTTTATAATTATCGGATCTTCTTTTTATTTTATAATTTTCAAAACTATATTCTAATTTTTATGAATCTCAGAACTCCTCGATATTGTAATTTTTTAAGATTAAAAAAATTAATTTTTAAAAAGTCATACGTTTCAAAACTTCTTCATTGTTGAAATACCAATAATTTTCAAATCTAAGATTTTCAAATCTTATTACTGATTTCGTATACTTCGTAGTTTTTAAAAATTTAAATTTTTCAAAACTTTAAAACAATTTAAACTTTCAATTCTGTTTTTTAACTATAAAATTTACAAAACTCTTAAGTTTTAAAATAACAAATTTTTTTCCACAATTCCTTCATCAAAATGTATATCGTTTCCATCTGGACAGACCTTTTAGACTTCAGAAACGTCTCCCTGCCTGTGTTGCATATGTATATGAACATACATACATACTTCATACATATGTACCTAAGTACCAACCGCATAAATCAATTTAATATTTCCTACGCCGAAAAAAGAAAATTTACAAATAAATCAATTTCCGTTTTTCCACCGAAGAAATACAAACAAACGTATATATATATTAGAAAATACAAAAACAAATGCCTTTGCCGCCACACAGAATTGGCAATAAAGCTAAAATTGTAAGAATTGCTATTTCCGAATTCCAAACAAAGTAATCATGATGACGCGATTTGCGACGTTTTTGCTTGTGCAGCGCCAGCAGTAGCAACATTTGTGGTTTGAATGACGTTTGCATAACGTAATTTAAAATAGCAAAATAGAAGAATAGAACTTAGAAATACCAAAGATTTTATACCTATCATGAATATTTACATACCTTTGAAGTTTTTAAAAAGAGGCTTTAAATTAAAAATTCGGAAATAAGAAACTCGTTATAAGCAATTAAAAATTCAATCTTTGTGGTATTCAAAACCAGATTTTCGAAAAAATATTTGTATGGGAGCTATGTGTTATAGTGCTTCAATTTCTTTGATTTTCAAAGTTTGTCTTTTACAAATGATATGCATAAAGTATATCGAATTTCAAGTTCACAGCTGCTAAAATGTGAAAGTTTTGGCCTAAAAACTGATTTTTGAAAACCCAGTTGTATGAGAACTATATGCTGCACTGGCCCAATATTTCCAAACTTTCACTGTTAGTATTTTATACTTTACATGCAAATATTTTACAAAATTTCATGTTCCTTACATCTGCATTGTGTGAGTTTTCAACCAAAAATGGATTTTCGAACACTCAGTTTTACAGGAGCTCCGTGTTATAGACGCTCGATCGGCACATAATAATGATTATTGTATGTACATATGTTTATATTTTGTTCAGATCTGAGTGGCATGAGTAGGCGAAATGCATAAAATGCCAACAACAAGCGACGTTACTTTTGCAAATAACATTACTAATGAGCGTCATCGTCTTACTTAGCCTTAAGTCAATTCAGGTCTTTAGACTGGTGAATCAGTCAAGTTTGAAAAATGAATTATAAACACATACATACGTACACACATAAATAAATTTAGGCACAAAGTCAAGTCGATGGTGAGTCTCAGCATAGCTGGCTGCAGTGCAAAAGAAAATGCAAGTGTATTGTAAAACTAATGCACCTGAGGCGAGAACAGTTGCATGGGACAGCAGGCAGCCGGCGTAGTATTGCTTGCGGTTGTTTGTGCTTGTAAGTTCTCGCTTATTATTATTTATTGTTATTTCTTTAGATTTCTTTACATTATTTCTTTTTTATTTACATTTTTTTTGCTGTCTTCTCCCCTTGCTTTCTTATGTATGTTGCATTGTGCATTGCCTTGAAACATGCGGTAATCAGTTAGGTATCTAATAATTAGTTTTACGCTTCAGTTTTACTTTCTTACATTCTCATAATTGTATAGACGTAGTAGAAGTTTTTATTTTTTTTATTTTTAAAAATACTTCTTTTATTGTTTATTTCTTTGTTGTTGTTGTATTTGGTTGTGGGTTAAGACGCGTCGATTACTCTATTTGGCTTAGTAAGAATGCATTAAAGTGTGTAAAGTGTTTCTGTGCAAGTATGCGTACATTTTGTATGAGAAATGGGGTAAATTTTACAATAGGCGTCGTGGGGGCTTACGGTCGGTAAATGAGCTATGAAATTATTAGTAAAGCCATGTACAGGTGTATGTATATGTAAGATTTGTATGTATATGGCCAACTGATGATTAAAACTATTAACACTGTTGAGTCAAAAAGTAAATCTAGTGTGGGGAGCACACCTCACTCCCTTTTTACAATAAACAATTAATTAAAAAAATACAGTAAAATGAAGCAAAAAATAAAAAAATTAAAAAAAAATAACAAAAATAAAACATAATAAAAAAGTAAATAAACAAATATCAGAAAAATATGTTAAAATACTGTTTTAAATAAAAATAATAAAAAAAAGAAGCAAGAAACATAAATAAAAACCTATTAAAGAAAAATTGAAAACAAAAAAATTAAATAATAAAGATTAATAAACCAATAAAGAAATCATATAAAAAATTAAAAAAATTAATAAATTTTAAAAAAATTAATAAAAAATAAAAACTAATGAAAAATAAAAAAAAATAATAAAAGTATAAAGAAATTAATAAAAATACAAATTAATAAAAAATAAAAAGAATATTAAAATATAAAAAAATTAATGAAAAGTAAATAATTAATAAAAAATTAGAAAATATTACAAAATGAAAAAAAATTATATAATTTAAGAAAATTAGAAAAATAATTTATTAATAAAGTAGACAACTAATAAAAAATTAATAAAAAACGAAAAAATGATAAAAAATTTATAAAAATTAAAAAAAAAAGTAAAAAAATTAATAAAAAATTAAAAAATTAATAATAAATAATAAATAAAAAATCTAAAAAAAATGATTGAAAACATAAAAAATTAATAAAAAATAAAAAATTATTAAAAAGTAAAAAAATTACTGAAAAATTAAAAAGTTAATAAAAAATAAAAAAATATTAAAAAATTAAAAAGTTAATAAAAAATAAAAAAATAAAGATTAAGTAAAAAAATTAACAAAAAATAAAATCAATTAAAGATCTAATAAAAAAAGTAATACAAATAAAATAAATTAATGAAAAATATAAAAATTAATAAAAATAGAAGAAATTAATAAAAAAAAACCAATAAAAATAAAAGAAATTAATAAAAATAAAGAATTTTATAAAAAAAAAAAGAAATTAATAAAAAAATGGAAAAAATGAAAGAAAATAATTGGTGATTGCAAAAATATGATAAATTTAAGAAATAAAAAATTAAGAAAGCAAAAATTAAAAATAAAATTTTAAAAAGGAGTAAAAAAATGAATAAAAAAAAAATAAAGTAAGTTAAAGAAAAAAATAAAAGAAACTGATTTGAAAAAAAATAAAATAAAAAAATAATGTAAAAGAATCAAAAGATTAAAAACAAAACTAAGCTTAAATCTGTAAAAAATAAACTCGAAAAAAACTAAATAGATTGAAGAAAAAGGGCTTTAAAAAATAAAATAAAGCACTAATTAAATAAAAAACAGCTAAAAATTAAAGTAAAGTTAAAAAACGGAAGAAAAATATTAATTTATAATATAATAAAAATGTTAAAATAAAAAATGAAATAAACATCTTTTTTCGATATTCGCGTTAAACATATGCAGATTCATACTTCACATGGCTGCCTGAATAATTTTACTCGAATTTTCTACATTTTCCATTTCGGTAAATTTAAATTAAGGCGCTAAATTAGTTAATTGAGCGCCTATGTGAACAGCATTTTAAGCCGCTTCGAGTCGAAAATGGAACTCACATTCGAGCACAAAGTGAATTACGCTTTTTAGCACAGACAATTTTTACAATACGAATTTTAAAACTTTGTTACTTGTTACCCTTTTATTTCCAATTTTATAATTCCTCTTTCCTTTCACACATGATTTAAATTTGTTTTTGTCTTTTCTTCCAGGTTTGCGCCGAAGAAAAATCTCAAGAAGAAGTCGTCCTCTTAGCACTCAACTATATGGATCGTTTTCTATCTACAAAATCTGTAACAAAGACACATCTGCAAATATTGGCGGCTGCCTGCTTGCTGCTCGCTTCGAAATTACGTGAACCCAGCTGTCGGGCATTATCTGCCGAATTATTGGTGTTCTATACGGACAACAGTATATACAAATGCGATTTAATTGTGAGTACTTGGCTTAAAAAGAGTTAATTTGCTATAATAAATTGTTAAAAGTTAAGAATATGAGTCTAAGCAGCTTCCTGGTAGAGATACTATGTAAAACCAAATACCAAGTGTGACTTCCTGTTTCACCCATAGGCACGCATCCAGGAATTATCACCTCATCAACTTTCGCACACTTACCATTAGCACTACATACATTGTATATTCTACTTGAAACTGTTAGAATTGGAATTTGCTTGCTATATTTTTTTTTCTTTTTTGAGAAAGAACATTTGGTTTAGTATGAGCGCTTAGGTTTAGGTCTTAGGAAACGTAGTTGGCGGTATCGAAACCGGTACCAGAGGCGAAAGAGTTGTAACTTTTTCCACATCTCTGAACCAATTGAAACATTACGAAGACGCACCCGAATCATTTAATTTTATCTCCTGCACATAACAGTTGAAATAAAAAATACCCGAGCGGTTAGCAATGTTTACTACAATCCAGAAGGCTGATCCGACCAACATCTAAAATCATAGAAGATTAAATTTTCTAATATCGTTTGGCCTTCGTCTTTCGAGTGTATTTCTGACATGAAATAAAAGCTCCACAAAAATTTGGTTCTGTAGGCTTGTCTTATAAATATATATTCATATATAAGAGGTCTCCAGCTGTAAGTAATACCGATCTTACGTATATCTCTGTGTCAAACCGGTCTGCGTATGGCCTTAATTTGATGTTCTAACTTTGAGAAGAAAGTCAGATTTAGTTCCAATCCCTCCGAAGTAATGTGCTACAAAGAGGGATCCGCAGCGTAATTTATGTTATCCGAATCACAGTCTAAGTATAAATGAGCGTAGTGTGTCTCTGTGCCACTCTTTTCTGAAATGACAATCAAAGACTAAGCTCGACACATTCGAAATAAATATCCTGCTTTTATCGGATAAATGACGTCACGTAATGACAATTCAACATCCTGGGAACATCGTAGGCATACCTTTTGTATGGCATTTTCGACCTTGAGCAGTGAATTCAAGTTCGTTCTTTTACGGAGGTCAGTCACTCACTGGAAGCTTTGTCATGCTTTAGTCAATTCAACAGGTTGCTACCGATCCGGAAGCTCCATATGTAGCGCCTTGTCAGGCAAGTGACGTCAAGGCTGTTAGTGGATATTGGGTTCACAAAAATCATTGTCGGGGGTGTGAGTAATAAATCCGGATTACCGAAACCACAGTCTGCGAAAATTTTCGTAGCAAAATCGAAGATCCGTTACATCACCAGGCGAAACATTCCAACTCCAAGTTAATGGCTCGCACATTGAACTTGAACCGCCTGCTTGCTTGTGCTTTTAGACCATTCAACTGTCCGTTGTTACTACCAAAACTGATGCTGTAACTTGTTAGAATATGCGAGAAAGAAGAATACTGACACAAGAAGTATAAAAATGCGCAAAAAATCAAAATTATCGCATGAAAATTTAACATAGTGCTAAAAAATTCGCACGCACCAACGCGTCGCGGTCAATCGTTCTAACTATGTGTCTTCATATGTTGTTGTTATTATTTTTGTTTGCTTCCTTTTTGGTGGTCAGCCGGTTAAGCGTTCGGTCAATACGAACAGTGGTTACATGGCTGGCTTTGTTTGCGCATCTCTGGGTATGTAAGTACGTTTGTATGTATGTATGTATGTGAGAAGATTTTGCTACATGGGAAAAGTAAATAAGACAGACAGACTCAGACTCAGACTCAGACTCCACTGTTAACCAGTTGGTTCAGTCAGCTGTAGCGGACGCTGATATTAACTGCGCAGCCGCACAGCAACGACTTTGCGTACGACCAACCAGTAACCAGCCGAGAACACATACCCCGCGTTGAGTGCTAAAGCCGCCACTTTTCACAAACACACAAAGCTCAGCAGCCTCCCCAGTGCGCTGTCTTCTCTATACTCCGGTAAAATATCTCAATCAATTATGTGTGAATAAGTTGCGCGTTGATTTTTATATGCAAATTTGCAAACATATTTTCAACACTGACGTTGGCGGGTCTGTGTGGTTGTTACCACTCCAGTAACTAGATGTATGTATGTGTATATGTCACCTATAGGCTACAAAAATATTGAAAGAATGTTAATAAAATATTAGTGTTTTAATTGAAACGCCGCAGTCTCTGCCCAATTAACCTTAAAAATGCTTTTCAACTTGAGATTAAGTGGCGAAAGAACGCCGTTCTCAGGCCTCAGACTTTGTTTCTCAATTCAAGCTTAACAGGCGAGCTGGTGCTTTCTCAACAAAAGAGCATTGTCTGGAAGATATGATTCGCAGTTTGAGCATAATTTGGTTCTCAATTTGAGAACTATTTAGTTCTCAACTCAAACTCAATCGATAATCTTCAATGTTTGGAAACCACTCCAGAATGATAATTTCGGCGATTAACTCGTAGTTGGAAATCAACTTGACAAGTGGAAATTGCTCAAAGGTTTAAGAAATGCTTTTCTTTAATGTCCGTTGGGTTTGACTCTTGTCCATACAGAATCCAGACACAATTTTTTGTTGAGTCTATGTGCCGTGTCATACATTCCTGCAGTTGTTTGATCACCAGCGATCGTCCTGTTTATTAAATGTTGCAGCTCTTCATATAAAAATATTTGTTAAAGAATGTGACATTGACTGTAGCGGCGTCAGGGAGATGTCACAACGCTGGCTGCGCTCCTCTTTAGGCACAACACGTGATACACTGTCGCTAATATTGCGGGAAATATAAAATAGATGCCAACTGCGAATGCGTACTCACCCCTAGATGTATCGTTTGGCTTCTCCAGAGAAGTTTAGCATCCGCAAGTTTCTCTGTGCCAAAGTTTTCGCAAATGTAAAATGCTGAGTAGCCTACTAGAGCGTGCCACGAGCCGGAGAAACATGTGTTTCACTCCTCGCTTGCCGAATAAAATGGAAATAAAATCTGTTTTTCGGAGGCGTTCCAAAGACTGTAGGCCCGTCTCATAAAGATGAACTCCGTGCACGCTTTAAAATGTCATTTCCATTTTTCGGGTGGATCTGGAGTAACTCTATTTGTGCAGATAACTTCTGCACTCGGTATTTTTCGGTTCTTAAAGTCCACTCTCAACTCGTACAGAGGTCAGCTTTAAGAGGGCTAGGTCAAATATAGTTTCGTAGTATTTAAAGCCCGCTCTATGCGGCTCCGCTTCGGGTAGACTCCCCAAAGATTAAGAAGTCCTTGGTCATCTTCTTGGTTTCAATTATGATTTTCTACAGTGTACCATAGAATTCCTTCTTGTATCTCGTAAAGTGCAATGTATGCCATGGAAGCCAGCAATGGGCGCGAATGTTTGTCATTGAACTTGGTCGTCTTACTCTTACCCGGTTTCTAACCTAACAAACGCGTGCTCATACATACAATTGTTACCAAACACCGTTTCGCCCCCCGCTTTAGCTCATACAGAGGCTTTATGTCTTAAATCTTTGGTATTTCGCTGACTGTCTTCACTGGTTTCCCATTAATTCTTTTGGGTATTGTCATTCAGACAATCAATAACAACAAAAATAACCCATAAGTGGCGGTGGTGGCCGGTACCTTTAATGTCCCACTTGCTCAGCTCTATTAATCGCACATTCACACATACCTACTCCTGCAGAGTAGACTCCTTAACCAGCAAGTCATACCAGCCTACCAACAAGTTTGCGAGCTAGTCAACCTACGCGTATTTTATCTCGCCAGATAAGCACACATGAATCGTGTCATGCGCCAACCGTGGTCTTACAACAACGTCGCATAACACGGTGATGGTAACAATGTGGACGGCGCTCGACGGCTGGACGGGTGCCAACGGGTTTAAGTGAAGTTGGTTTGTGGTGATTCGGGTTGTGTTAAGCACGATCCGGGGAAGCGGGCAAGTGTGTACTCCGTGGCTGGCGACTATTCTCCGTCTTACCTACTTTTAATTTTTCACTTCTACTTTTATTTTACACGCGTCGCAGCAGATTCGTCTCGTCCAGTAACATATGTACAAGTGTACCAAGGAGTCTGCAGAAATTGAGCAAAGGAAAAAGCAGCACCGGCAATCAGATCGGCAGCCAGCAAGTAGACACTTCGGCGAATAAATGCAAAAAGAGCAGAGAAGCATATAGATTTTTACAAAAGACTTGTTCAAATAGTAGTTTCCCAGGGTCGGCCTGTGAGCTAATACATACAGACAGATTTCTTTATGAAGTTGGTATGTTATTTTATTACGCATAGCGAGTCATGGGCATCCTTTCGTTGTTGGCGGCAGCGAGTTTGTCGTAAACTCACTCTTCATTATACTACAAAGATGGTAATGGCGTTTGTGCGGCGCGAATGATGCGCTCCAACTTCCGCCCGCCGTGCAGACATTCCAGGCCTAGCCTAGTGCCTCGAGATACCTCAACGCAGCTCCGCGGAGGCGACATTGCAATTTATTTTTGTTAAGTGCCGCATTTCGATCTCACTTTCCACGAACGTAATCTCTGCGCCAGCCGTGGTATTAGCTTGCTATTGTCTAGCTAACTGGTAGTAGTAGTGGTTGGCGAGGCGACTATTTGTTGTGTTTGCTTGCAGGGGTGCGAGGAACGCACAGATGATTCGCCCCGTCGATGCTGACTTTCTTGTTTGTTTATTTGATTCTGCATCGTCAGCACCTTGGCACGTTGATTGCGGACATACTCAGTCAGGTAGGCAGGTCCTTCTAGTTGCATTGCTAGACGGCATGTTTCTTCTTTGTTTTTGCTTTCAATCGCATGCCAAGCTCCGAGCAGCAAGCTGTGGTGTGTGCTGTCAATGGGTTTTTGATAAACTGCTACATGTTGTGCGGCAAAGTCGGTATTGATCTTAGGTGGTAGTGGTGGCTGGTGATTTTTAATTCTTATTATTTGCTGTAAATTCCTTTCCTAACAGAGTTGCCGTGATACTTGTTTTAATCAATGGTTAAGTCAGACTATTTGGGTTGAAACTCATAGACTTTTTATTTATAAAAGTAATTCCTGTGACTTT